GGCCTTTATATATATATGTAATGACATTATAATGGCAGACACAGCACACTCGCAGCGGTCGAGTGCGGGAGCGTTCTGCCATTAGTTTTTAGTGAGAGCAAAGTTGATATACAGTGATCGATAACAGTGGAAGTGTAATTGTATCCCCCGCCGACGAAGTCGGCGGCGGATTACTATGGCATTCATGTCTCCCAGCGCCGCCGCCGCCGCTGCAGACAATTTCCCTTTCCGCCTCTAAGACTCGACCCCTAATTGCCTAGCTCTACCAAACTTGGTATACTTACACATCTTGGGGAGAATGTGAGCAGCGTACCAAAACCAGGTCACTGCGACCTTTATTTGACCTTTACCTTGACCTTGATCATATTTCCCTTCCGCTCTCTAACTCAGCCCCTAATTGCCTAGCTCTACCAAACTTGGTATACTTACACATCTTGGGGAGAATGTGAGCAGCGTACCAAAACCAGGTCACTGCGACCTTTATTTGACCTTTACCTTGACCTTGATCATATTTCCCTTCCGCTCTCTAACTCAGCCCCTAATTGCCTAGCTCTACCAAACTTGGTATACTTACGTTACACATCTTGGGGAGAAGGTGCGCAGCGTACCAAAACCAGGTCACTGCGATCTTTATTTGACCTTTACCTTGACCTTGATCATATTTCCCTTCCGCTCTCTAACTCAGCCCCTAATTGCCTAGCTCTACCAAACTTGGTATACTTACACATCTTGGGGAGAAAGTGAGCAGCGTACCAAAACCAGGTCACTGCGACCTTTATTTGACCTTTACCTTGACCTTGATCATATTTCCCTTCCGCTCTCTAACTCAGCCCCTAATTGCCTAGCTCTACCAAACTTGGTATACTTACACATCTTGGGGAGAAGGTGCATGAGCAGCGTACCAAAACCAGGTCACTGCGACCTTTATTTGACCTTTACCTTGACCTTGATCATATTTCCCTTCCGCTCTCTAACTCGGCCCCTAATTGACCTAGCACTACCAAACTTGGTATACTTACACATCTTGGGGAGAAGGTGAGCAGCGTACCAAAACCAGATCACTGCGACCTTTATTTTACCTTTACCTTGACCTTGATCATATTTCCCTTCCGCTCTCTAACTCGGCCCCTAATTGACCTAGTGCTACCAAACTTGGTATACTTACACATCTTGGGGAGAAGGTGCTCAGCGTACCAAAACCAGGTCACTGCGACCTTTATTTGACCTTTACCTTGACCTTGATCATATTTCCCTTCCGCTCTATAACTCGGCCCCTAACTGACCTAGTGGTACCGAAACCAGGTCACTACGACCTTTATTTGACCTTTACCTTGATCATATTTCCTTTCTGCTCTATAACTCTGCCCCTAATTGACCTAGCGCTACCAAACTTGGTATACTTACACATCTTGGGGAGAAGGTGTGTCGCGTACCAAAACCAGGTCACTACGAACTTTATTTTACCTTTACCTTGACCTTGATCATATTTCCCTTCTGCTCTATAACTCGGCCCCTAATTGACCTAGCGCTATCAAACTTGCTATACTTACACATCTTGGGGAGAATGTGCGTTGCATACCAAAACCAGGTCACTGCAGCTTTGATTTGACCTTGACCTTTATCATATTTCCCTTCCGCTCTATAACTCGACCCCTAATTGAAGTAGCCTGACCAAACTTGGTATACTTACACATCTTGGGGAGAAGGTGTGTGTGTCGCGTACCGAAACCAGGTCACTGCAACCTTTATTTGACCTTGACCTTGACCTTATATATATAACTCATATATATATATATACTCATATATATATATTTGACTCATTATATTTCCCTTCTGCTCTATAACTCGACCCCTAATTGACCTAGCGCGACCAAACTTTGTATACTTACACATCATGGGGAGAACACGGGGGATACATGTAGTTGGCGACAACTGCCCTTTCTAGTTTTATACTGCTCTTGTTTCCTTGGTACCTGAATCACAGGTTATAGTTGTAGTGATATACGGGTCTTATATCTGTAGGCCCTGCATCATGGATCACAGCTGCTGTCCAAATGCGATCATCACATTCAGTGGCATCAGGATGAATGTTAGAGCTGGCACAGACATTGCTGTGAACAACCACAACCACGTGAGTCTTCGATTCACTGCCCTGCCACATTGCCATAGCTATCACCATATTGATGTGCTCACGGATGTCGCCATCCCAATAGCAATGAGCTTGTATATGTTACTAAAGTTACTTTAGATTAGAAGCATAGAAGATTAGTTCCAATCTGTTTCTGTGAATGATCTTCATGTGACCAATCAGTGATCTCCGTGTGTTGAACTCTGTAGGCTTTCATCTCATATGTGGATCTGTTGGCACCGCGCCAAGAGAGACGTGCCCAGCTACAACCTGACTACTATTTCTTCTGCGAATGCACGCGTTGCCTGGACGACAGCATTGTGCGTATGCCAGCTGGAGAGAATTAGTTGCCGTCAGTCTGTGTTTTTTTAAACAAAAATTTGATCTCATATGAAAGAGTTTGTAATGTGAAAGTGTAGGCAGCTGATTGACTTGGGGATTTTTTTCTCTTCTCTCCCAGGATGAGCTCATGTTGAGTACAAAATGTCCAAACAACAACTGCGAAGGTGTCATAATCAAGAAAGGTAAGCAAGGTCCTCTCCTCACCACGTGTCACATCGCTCAGTAATTATATATGTAGTAGAGAGAGAGTCAGAGGGAAAGAGAGAGTGAAAGAGAGAGGGAGGGAGAGAGAGAGAGAGAGAAACAGAGAGAGAGAGAGAGAGGAAAAAAAGAAGGGAGAGAGAGGCAGAATGAGAGGGAGAGAATTGTCACTAACTTTGTGGCTTCGTGATGGCAGCAATAATCACTTCAAATCTACATGTGGTAGAGCTGTGAAATATGCACTCTGTAAAGCCAGTACAAGACTACACTTCACGTATCTTGTAATCGGTAACATCCCAGTTGGCCTACTCCCATTTCGCCTACACCCATTTCGCCTACGTCCCATTTCGCCTACTCCCATTTCGTCTACTCTCAGAATCGGCAATATTCCCATTTCGTCTACTCCCATTTTGTTCTTATTTTGTTCTATTATTGTCAAGTTGTGTTCTCATTATTTGTAGCCATATTTTCCTCTGGTTCCTTGACCTGTAGTCTATATATGCCAATGAAAACCATATTTTATTATTTATTAATGATTATTTAGTGAACAAACCGATGGTAGACGAAATGGGAATGGGGTAGATTCTGAGCGTAGACGAATTGGGAGTAGGAGAAATGGGTGTAGGACAACTGGGAATTTTGCTGTAGACGAAATGGGAATTTTGCCGTAGGCGAAATGGAAGTAGGCCAACCGGGAACCGGGAATAAACCCACACAAACCTTGTAATCTTTTCTCTACGTGTCTTCACGTGCAAATTCTCATTATCGTATGTGCTATTGTTGTTGTTGTTATTGTTGCCATCTTTGTTGTAATCGTATGTGGCATTGTTGTTGTTGTTGTTGTTGTTGTTGTTGTTGTTGTTGTTGTGTTGTTGCTGTTGTTGTCGTCTTTATCGTAATCACATGGGCTGTTGTTGTTGTTGTTGTTACAGACGGGGAGTTTCAGCCGTGTGAGACGTGTGGGGCCGCGTCGTTCTCGTCTATCTATGCGACACTGGCGGCGGAGACGGCGCAGTGGTCGGCGGCAACGTTCCAGCGGCTGCAGCGCTGCGAGCAAGATGGTCGTGATATCCTTCTCATTGCACATGCGTGACTAACCTCATTCACGATTAGTGTGTGTGTGTGTGTGTGTGTGAGAGAGGGGTACGTGCGGGCGTGCATGTGCGTGTGTGAGTGTGTGAGCGTGCGTGTGTGCGTGTGTGTGTGCTAGTGTGCGAGCGTGCATGTGCGTGTGCATGTGAGTGTGTGTGTGTGTGAGTGTGTGCATATGTCGGTACATGCGTGCGTGAGAGTATGCGTGCGTGTGTGTGTGAGTGTGTGCATATGTGGGTACATGCGTGCCTGTGTGTGTGTGTGTGTGTGTGTGTTTGTGAGTGCTTGCATATTCGGTAGATGCTGGCATGCGTGCATGTGTGCGTGTGTGTGTGCATATGTCGGTACATGTGTGCCTGTGTGTGTGTGAGCGTGCATATGTCGGTACATGTGTGCCTGTGTGTGTGTGAGCGTGCATATGTCGGTACATGTGTGCCTGTGTGTGTGTGAGCATGCATATGTCGGTACATGCGTGCTCTTGTGAGTGCATATGTCAGTACATGCGTGCGTGTGAGCGTGAATATGTCAGTATGTCAGTGTCATGTGTGCATGCATCGCGGCCTCGTGTGTCTGCTCCTTGACCGTCTGTCGTCTCTCACACCCAGCAGAGATCCTCGCTCAGTGTGAGGAGTGCCTGCGTGGACAGGACGAGGTCCTGCACCCCGTATGGAACGTGCACCGCATCCGGCTCATGGACCTAGCCGCCATGGGGCACATGCGCCTAGAGCAGTGGGCACAGGCGGCCCAGTGTATACTTGTCACGCTGCCGGCCAAGAGGTGGGTTCTGCCATCAGTGATTCCGTGGGGGAAACTTTACAAGTTTTGTTTTTCTCTTCTTTCTATTTTTCTTCTTCAGTTTTTTCTTTTTTTTTCTTTCATTCTTTTGCCACGCCACCTTTCTTTCTTGTTTTTGTGATTTTTTCTCTTAATTTTTTCTTTTTCATTTTTTTTTCACGTTTGAATCTTCTTCGTAGTGAATATTTTGTGAGTGACACACAATGTGTAATGATGTGCATAATGAGGTAGGTGATGGTATGAATGAAGGCAAAGCGTTAGCGTCATTTGACCATGCGTTCGCTTTTGCACAATGTCCTTGATGGTCACACAGCGTTCTAATGACGAGAATTTCTTTTGAAGGAAATACTTCCCGGCGAATCATCCCAATCTGAGTCTGCAGCTGTTCTCTGTAGGCAAGGCTCTCATTTATGCAGGCAGATGTGATGATGCTCTGCCTCACTTGCACGAGGTATACTCACGACGCACTCTCGCATGCGCTCACTGCATAAATACCACCGCTACTACTTGTAAATCGTTACTGAGTTGTTCTTGCACCAATTTCTGCCCAGCTGTGAGAAATATCGTCACCACTCTCATCTGTCCCCTACTTCTACCTTATTATCTCTTCTCCTTTGTCCCGTGTCCGACCACCATCCTCCCTGCTCCTACCCCATCACCACCACCATACCCCCATCACCAGCACCACCACCACCACCCTGTACCTAGTACCTACCCCTATCACCACCACCATAACCTCTGCCCGTACCCCCATCACCAGCACCATCTCCCCTGCCCCTACCCCCATCACCACCACCATCGGCCCCCACTTTCCAGCAAACCATGTATTTTCTACATTGCTATTGTTGCAGGCTCTTGATATGATCAGTGCGACACACGGTAATGAGCACCCCCTGGTGGAGCAGGTCGAACAATTACTCACGGAATGCAAGAGTGAAATCAAAAAGAAGGCAGCTGCTACGACTAACTGAGAATAGTGGGTGGGGAGAGAGGAAGACATCTGAACTAGGAGAGGTGAATACAGCTGAGCAACGAGAGGGAAAGGACTGCTAGTATAATCCAAATATGTTACGTACAAAAGTTTTGTATGTGTCGTTATTGCATAAACCATTTTACTTTTAGGATAAAAAAATAAAAATGTTTGATTTGAAGAAAGTCTTTATTGTTTATATATATTCATAATATTGTTAGCAAAAAACGTTATATTTAGCTATAAAGGCTAATTTCTGTAATAATTACGTAAATACACACAAATTAAATGGGGAAGTTAATTGCTAAGTTGTCGGCAAATCAGCATGTTTGTTCACGCTATGTAATGTATATATCAGAATTTTACCAGTAGTGAATAGAAACCGTTCAAGATTGAATCAGGAGTGTATCAATACGTAAGGGAGATACGTATTGATACGCTCCTGATTGAATGGTAATGACAAATAATAAAATAATGAACCAACAGATGGCAGCACTAACTTGACATTTTTATTTATTCATTAGGTGCGACTGGTATCTGAAATATATGGTATGAAATTCTTTGCAGTTTCCTCTATTTTATTCCATTTACTTTAGTCTTAGTACTTGCTTTGAGTTATTTCAGTAGTGAATGCTATAGATATTTTAGGAGGTGCGAAGTGCGGGGCCGATGTACGTTTTCTGTGTGTTCCCTTGTTTTGATATAAACTGGACATGATTATGCAGTCATGCATAATATTAATAATAATAATATATAATTAATAATGATAATGATTAATGATACACTAAACTAGGCCTACTGTGGCTGATAGGGTCTATGACTATGTCTCCCAGGGTACTGCCGGAACTAGACCGAATAATTCTGTCCCATATAACCTTTTTTATATTTTGGTGAGGGTTATATTGGGACAGAACCGGGTTCATTGAAATTTCGTGAGATCGCATGCAAAATGCATGCGCTGCGAATGCGGCCCGTACGCCGCTATTGGTGCGAAAAAAACCCTACCGTTCCCTTCTACATAACTTCACCTTGCTGCAGATATGTGTATACATTCACTTCAATCGTTATTCACTTCTTAAAAGATTGTTTTTCAGAAACCCGCTTCATTCAACTTTAGTAAATAACATTCGCCATTTACAAACAATCAGACCAATCAGAGCGAGTCTATCAGCCCTCCTGCAGCGCCACAGATACAAGCGAGAACCAGGCTATTGTAACACTCGCTCTGATTGGTCTGATTGTTTGTAAATGGCGAATGTTATTTACGAAAGTGGAATGAAGCGGGTTTCTGAAAAACAATCTTTTAAGAAGTGAATAACGATTGAAGTGAATGTATACACATATCTGTAGCAAGGTGAAGTCATGTAGAAGGGAACGGTAGGTTTTTTTTCGCGCCAATAGTGGCGTACGGGCCGCATTCGCAGCGCATGCATTTTGCATGCGATCTCACGAAATTTCAATGAACCCCGTTCTGTCCCAATATAACCCTCAACAAAATATAAAAAAGGTTATATGGGACAGAATTATTCGGTCTATGCCGGAACGTACCCTGGGGGACATAGACCCTATCAGCCCTACTGTGAGTGTGACGACATTCGTATAGTTCAATGATTGAATGATCTGTGTTAATACATATATCATATGTTATATATTGCTTCCTTGGTGTAGTTAACCTCGCAATGATTTGTCTTCGAAGTTCAATGGACTACACCAACGACGGAGAGAGTCACGTTAATCAAATGTATCCTAGATCAACAGAATACTGTAGTGACTGTAGATTGCAACAGAACATCACATAAGTCATGACCTCTATTTTTAGTATAGTAATAACACGATTTTATTTAAATACCCAGTGAAACCACATTCAAACAAATAATTCCAATGTCTGTAGCTATAATAAATCTATATGAAATGCATCTATGATCTAAACAATGCAATAAATAGGCAAACACGGCTTGGTCATTATACTTTGCTAACTTTAAACCGAGAGGGCGCTGCAGTTCCTACCCCCAGCGTAGTTTAATCATGGACGACGTGTTGCAGCGGAGAGGTGACCAGACATGGTGATGAGTTGCTCGATGCAGCAGGTGCTGGCGGACTCGCGGCAGCTCGTGGAGCGACTACGGGAGCATGACAGCAACGCTGACATTCTCATCTCCCACGCTCAGTTCCTCGACCTTAAAGTGGAGACCATGAAGCGGGTAGGTCGGGCATAGCCATGTAAGGTGTAGCAATGTAGGGTGTAGCCTAGCTCTAGTACTATAGCCCGCGTACATTGACTGCTGCAGGGCTATTGAACATTGTCGGCTGGATTTTGCAGCAACACCGGGTCCCGACAGGTCCCACTCAAAATGGCTCACAAAACGGAAAATGATTGGGCTTTTTAACACTTATTTATCTACATGGACATCTCACCTATCTTTTTGAACCCTTTCCACAACTTTACACCATGTATTTATCCTTTTATTACTCAAAGTCAGCACTACTGCCATTCCCGTTTCAAATATTCTGGCGTGCGAACGCGTGACGTCACCGGATATGTAAGCAAAACACATGGCAGCTATGGTGCATCGATCGTACAATACCGGTGACGTCACACGTTCGCACGCCAGAATATTTGAAACGGGAATGCCAGTAGTGCTGACTTTGAGTAATAAAAGGATAAATACATGGTGTAAAGTTGTGGAAAGGGTTCAAAAAGATAGGTGAAATGTCCATGTAGGGCGTATGCAGTGTAGGGTGTAGCCATGTAGGGTGTAGCCATGTAGGGCATAGCCATGTAGGGTGTAGCCATGTAGGGCATAGCCATGTAGGGCGTAGCAGTGTAGGGTGTAGCCATGTAGGGTGTAGCAATGTAGGGCGTAGCAATGTAGGGTGTAGCCATGTAGGGTGTAGCCATGTAGGTGTGTAGCAATGTAGGGTGTAGCAATGTAGGGTGTAGCAATGTAGGGCGTAGCAGTGTAGGGTGTAGCCATGTAGGGTGTAGCCATGTAGGGTGTAGCCATGTAGGGCATAGCCATGTAGGGCTAGCCATGTAGGGTGTAGCAATGTAGGGTGTAGCAATGTAGGGCATAGCCATGTAGGGTGTAGCCATGTAGGGCGTAGCCATGTAGGGTGTAGCAATGTAGGGCATAGCCATGTAGGGCGTAGCCATGTAGGTGTGTAGCAATGTAGGGTGTAGCAATGTAGGGCG